CCCCAAAACCCCAAAACCCCAAAACCCCAAAACCCCTATAATTTAGAATATAATTGAAATTATAGCGAAGAATTTTCGTAATCTAGATCGCTTCAAGCAATTTCTTCTGGCACTGGAGGCTGGGAAAGATTCTGTTTATGCTTCTAAGAGGTTAAAAAAGCTATGTATACCTTAGCAGCTTCTCGCCTTTGTCTATTCTTGATCTTCAGGGTTTCTTCATGTTTGATTTTCTGAATTATGGGGACTCAACTATGTGAATAAGGAATAATAAATTACCTTTGTGCTCTAGTAGTCAATGCTCTACTTTTCTCTGAATCAATATCTTCCTTTATAAGATCATTGGTCTTTGTAAGTTTATATTTGCCCCTAAGGAGTTTCTGGTAGCGAGATTCGAGCTCGTCAGAGAGAATCTCTTCCTTCCTTATGTCTCTATTCTCTACAAAATTCGGACATTTACATACTTATGCTTTTATTGATATAGATTTGGCCTCTTCCGTTAGCTTTGGTTAATGGAGCATGGACTCGCATCTTTTTCCGAATATCTCTGAACATGTCTGCTAACTTTCTTTTCTTTCTATGTTTCTAGACCTAGACTTGGGGGCTTACTCTATCATTGGTTTTAGGCCTCTGGACTCTGAAGGGAGGATTACTGGTCAAGAAATTCCGTTTAGGCTGCCCCTTGTCTACTAGACCAAGCCTCTTTAGAGTCTTTGGGTCAAATAAGGAGTCAGTGTTCTTCTGGTTTATAGCTGTTGTCCGAGACTAAAAGTTAGTGACATTTTGAGGGATTAGGAAATGAAGAATTTTAAAGGAGAATTTATAGGTGGTGTAATGCAAAGTGATGGTTTAAGTGTGAAATTTTTTGAAAGAAGAGAAAATACTTTTGACATTATAGGTTTGCATGAAGGTGGTCTTCCTTTTTCAACAACCTTTGGGGACGTTTTTGGTTGAGAGGTGCTTTTATTTTTGAGTTGTGATGAGATCTAGGGGAGTCCTAGGTGTGTTTTCCTCTTGTAGACGAGCTGTGGCACTTGGAAATTTTTCATTTGAAATGAATGGTATAACTCCAAGCAAAGAGTCTCGCCTTCTAAAAACTTTATAAATCTCCCTCTTATTTCTTCCTTGACTCCGCCTCGTTCATGATCCTGGCCACATTGCTCTGTCCGTTCACAACTATTTGGTCCATGTATGACTAGAGGTGAAGAAGGAATTTACGCTGTCTGAGGGCAGGAGTTCTTTGTTTTCGATATAGTCTTTGATCCGTTCGGTGAGACCGTTTAGTTTCCAGTAGAAGGGAGTCCGGGAGTCGCGTCGAGCAGCGAGGTCCATTGCTTGTTTTAAGTTGAGATCGTAAGAACCAATGGCTTTACTCGAAGCAGCTGTAAAGTATAAATTTAAGCAAAAATAGTAAAGAAGGATCAAAACTTACTGTTTTTGGAATGAGATGTACTCACTCTATCCTTCTTAGAAGCGTTATTGTGTTCACGAGTACTAGATCTAGTCCCTGTTCTTTTCATCGTTGTATTAACCACCACTTAAAATATTTATAAAAATTAGTTAAAAGGGGTTTTGGGGTTTTGGGGTTTTGGGG